CATTAGAGTATGTTTCTCTCACCAATCAGACTGCTGCATTAGAGTATGTTTCTCTCACCAATCAGACTGCTACATTAGAGTATGTTTCTCTCACCAATCAGACTGTTGCATTAGCGTATGTTTCTCTCACCAGTGAGATTGCTACAGCAGCGTATGTTTCTCTCATCAATCAGATTGCTGCATTAGAGTATGTTTCTCTCACCAATCAGACTGCTACATTAGAGTATGTTTTTCTCACCAATCAGACTGCTACATTAGAGTATGTTTCTCTCACCAATCAGATTGTTGCATTAGGGTATGTTTCTCTCACCAGTGAGATTGCTACAGCAGCGTATGTTTCTCACTCATCAATCAGATTGCTCCATTAGGGTATGTTTCTCTCACCAATCAGACTGCTACATTAGAGTATGTTTCTCTCACCAATCAGACTGCTACATTAGAGTATGTTTCTCTCACCAATCAGATTGCTACATTAGAGTATGTTTCTCTCACTAATCAGATTGCTGCATTAAGGTATGTTTCTCTCACCAATGAGATTGCTACATTAGAGTATGTTTCTCTCACTAATCAGATTGCTGCATAAGGGCATGTTTCTCTCACTAATCGTAATTATTTATTGCATAAATAGCGCTCTCTACTGCGAGGATTGTGCATTATACGTATCTATAAGCGCAGTTCAAAATATATGAACTTCATATATTTATCGTATCTGATTTATCATCGCGGATTTATTACGAATCAACTTAACGGCCTTTTCCCAGTTGGCTAGAGCGCTGCACTAGTATCGAAGAGGTCAGTGGTTCGAATCCCGTTCAGGCCTGATTTTTTTTTCAGGTCTGATTTTCGCTATTGCATAAATAGCGCTCTCTACTGCGAGGATCGTGTATAATAAGAGTCTCCAGTTCGCAACCGTTGTTTGGTCTCGTCACGCAACGCGCTCTCTCTCCAACGAGGGAACAAGGGCGTTATGCGACGACTTCGATGGAGAACACTGTAAGCGTAGCACCAATACAATTTTTGCTTAAAAGTATTCAGACAAAACCCGTGTGGGTTTCTCTTAGCTAAGGTAAAGTAATACGACATTTCCGTTCTATTGAAAATCATGCTCCTTTTTGACAAAAATGAAGACCTCATTTACACATTGTTCCACCTTGACCCAACCCACCCATCCATCCAACAAAAGTAACTGTTGCACGCGCAGCATGCCTATGTTTTACACAAGTCTTAAAAGTTTTTCAATGAGGCACTAAGACTTTTTTGTGAGAGATATACCAAATCTTTTAAAAGTGGACAATTTTGTCAGTTGAAGTAAGCATGTCAGTTAGGGGAGCAGTGATGGTACGATGACTGTGGTGCGCGCAGTACTGAGAAGATAGATACTTTAAACAAGCGAATTCTTAGATTTATCTTGCAGGATTATAATTCTCCCTATGACTCTCTACTTAGCAAAGTTAACTCCAAATCTCTGTATAAAAGATGCCTTCAGACTTTCTTAAATATTGTACAAGAGCTTGTTTTTTAATTGCTATCCAGGCTATCTAAGGAATATGTTTAGTTTCCGGTCTGTATACTATAATCTATGCGGAAATTATATTTTGTCTCTACCGTCTACAAAAACTACTACCTATGGTCTTCACTCCTTTTCATATATGGCTTCAAAACTATGGAACTCTCTTCCGGACTCTTTTAGAACGTCTGACTTTTCTGATTTCAAGCGCAAGATTCTACAGTATGACTCTTTCTTATAGTTAAATTTTAGAATGTTACAATTTTACATTTTAGTAGTATTTAGAATTATACTTGTAACTCGAAGATACTAGCTTATCTTTTAGCTACTCCAAATTCAAGATTACATAAAGTATATGTATGTATGTATGTATGTCTGTCTGTCTGTCTGTCTGTCTGTCTGTCTGTCTATCTGTCTATATGTATGTATGTATGTATGTATGTACGAGCAGCGGCGTTCTGGACTTGCTGTAACTTTTTTACTTGGTAGTTCGGTAGTACATAGAGTAATGAATTACAATAATCCAATTTTGAAGATACAAATGCTTGAACAAGTATTTCAGTGGTCGATGACAAGTACTTTCTTATATAGCTGATATTATAGAGATGGTAAAAAAAGATGATTTGCAGATATAGCTTGTCCTAGAGTGAAACAAAATACAGTAGGTAGAAGAACATTTACAGTGACCCTAATTGCTCTGAGTTCCTTTCATTTAAGATTTTTGCGGACGATACTAACCTGTTTGCTTCTGCTAAAGATATTCAACATTAGAAATGCAAATGAATTTAGAACTAAAAAAGTCAAGGACATAAACAAGCTATCAGTAAATTTAAAGATAACCAATTACCTGATTGTAAAATCCCCAAGGAAAAGGAACATGAATGTTAATATAAAGATAACTAACCGAGATGGATCATGCCACTCCTTGGAACGGAAAGACCACATTAAATATTTAGGAGTAATGATCGATGGTGCTTTAACTTGGAAATATCACATCTCATATGTGTGCGCTAAGCTTTCACGGAATGCAGGAGTAATCTCTAAGTTGAGGCATTATCTACCTCTCGAACCACTTACGCGCGCAGATCTATTATAATCTTAACTATCCTTGCATTTCGTACACTATTGTTACCTGGGGCAGCACCAGCAAGACAAATTTACATAAAATACAAACAAAGCAAAATCATGTTATTAGGTTAATGTTCTTTGCAACTCTATCTGGAAAAAATACCTTGGAATAATATCTTGGAAATGTTAACTCTAGCTAACATATATCGCTTGTATGCTCTCAAATTTATTCATGAATGGCACAAAGGTGCTCTCTCCAGTATGCCAGTAACGTATGTAATTATAACACCAGGTATGCAGCCAAACAAAATCTTCACAAATTTCGAGTAAAAACAAATACTGGCAAACAAATGATATCATTTATGTCCATTGATCTTTGGCATGAACTGCCATACAAGTTTAAAGACCTATATCAATTTGCTTTCTCCAAAAGTGTTAAAAACATTATTCTATATCAGCAATATCAAACGTAAGTTTCCACAAATCAAAAGTGCTAAAACTATCTATCATTCTAGTTATCTCATACGTAAGTCTTCCACAATTCTTCTAGCTTCTCTTCTAGCGGAAACTAGTCCAATTAGAATATTTCTGCAAATACTGGAAAGCCGTTTTTGTTGTTGTCGTGATAAGTTTTAATGTACTTTGCCTTTCGATTTGTCTCTGTTTCTTTTGTTTTACATCATCTGTACTCCTTAGCCAGCAGAAAGATCCTGTCTTAAGCGTTAGATGAGGGTTTTATCTACGGAATCATGGAACAAATTCCAACCTTGTCTTTTTTTCTGAAGCATCTCAGACATCTCAACTGACTTACCACCTGAGTTACAGGTATACCGTCTCGCAGAGACTTCATTCTAAAAATCAGCAAATCCAAACAAAAAACAACAACAACAACAACAACAACAAAAAAACAAAAACAGAAAAACACTCTTCATTTAGTGTCAATTTTGAAAACATCTCTCGCGGAAATGTTGATCTTATAATTTTAAAGGACATAAGTATTCATCGATGTTTTCGAATTTTACTGATGTCATGTTTTTGTTGATTTATTCGCAGTCTATTTGGTTAAGAACCTAACACATCAAGGATCTGCCACAACATATAACGTTATTCCTCGACGGCAACGAACTAAGTAACGTTGGTAAGAATCCTAAAATGCTAAACTAAAATGAAACAGGATTTGTAAGAGTAATATTAGAGTTTTGAAAAATGTCTCAGTTTCAAAGCATTTTTAAAGACAATTAACTCTAATAACGAGCTAACGCTCGAAACCTCAGCTATAGAAACTCTTTACGGTATCAACTCAAATCGATGAAACTAAACTATTTTGCAGTTCCCCTCACCATCGCAGTAACACAGTTTCTTTAGAATCTTATTACCTTTATTCACTCTAATAACTGGATTAGATTAGTCTACATATGAACGATTAAATACAAGTCAAACTCAACGTAAGGTAAATACATTTTAATTAATCATTTAGCCAATTGTATAAATGAGTTAGGTGCACAGCTATTTCAATCGACAATAAATACAAACACTTCATCATGGTTGCCACAGTCATAGGATTTTGAAACTCCCCTAACTTTTACCTGACAAACGTAAAATTTCCCCGATAGACTAACAAATCCTGACGATGGTCACCGACCCGACTCACAATCTTTCTACCCACCCATAACTTTATGCCTTCAGCAAGTCACATATATGGTACATGAATTGATGGTTCCGTAAGGTAACACAGAATTAGGATCGACCCAACATCAGCTTGTCATTCAATCTCATTACACTCAATTTCTACCGATCATATTGTACCTTTCCGGTACAAATTCTACCTTTCAAGTACAAAACATCATTAATCCATACATGTATGTTAGAAATGTTACCACAATAATCGACATATACTTTGCGGTTATCCGTCTTTGACAAGGGTCGTCAGGTTTTCGTTGGTATCTCGCGCGGGAACGAGTTATTTTTCTATTCCATTCTTTTTAATTTTTTTTAACTTACTTTAGTTTCTTTTCATGTTTAAATCCACGTACGCTTAATTTTTAAGTTTTATAAGACTATTTCGACAACACGCAGCAAAGTGCAAAGGAATTTTCCTTGTTCCCATCAAAGTAAACTCTGTTTTGGACTAATCAAGAGGCCGATCAACTAGAAGTAACCTTGAGCAAACCATGCGGCAACAAAGTCAAGATGACAGAGTAAAAAACAGACGATTTCATGGACAGAACAATACCTCCACAAGTGTGTTCTAAGACATTTCCCAGCGCTCCTCTGTAAAACAGAGAAGTGAAATTACCAAATTTTTTTCACAGTCAAAGAAAATGAAAACGAATAGACTACAACCAGTCCCTACTTACGGCTACCTTCCATGCACCTCTCTCACACAGTTCCGCGCGTCGCGGCACCATCAGTTTCTTTCTTTTTCGTTGATAGTTTTGGACTCGCGCGATGGACTTCGCCGAAAACGAGGGACAACTCGTGGCCTAGAATACCGACGACAATTCAATTGCTGTTCGAGACGGTAAACAAAATAATCAACAAAACAACAAATTAATATTACGATGAAACTTTTCCTTTGGCGTCATGGCTGCCTAACCTGGTTATTATATTTGTGTTAACTGTAGCCACGTATAGAGCCTTAAGACAAGTTTCAAGGATCCGCTTTCCAGGGGAAGAAAGAACAGCATACGCGAAACAGATGAATAGTATTACCAATCTAAAGTTTCTTTCTTTATGGAAAGGCGAGGACTATTCTCGGAGTAAAACTGTGAGTACCACCGTCTGTGTTTCTTGATTAGTTGATCTTCTTTTACTAAAAGGGGCTTTGGTACATAAGTTTTGTGATTCCAAATCATTATATCACGCTCAACCTGTAGGAAAAATTAAATTTGTGTTCTTAATCGAAGTCATTCAGCATTACAGTGTAAACATATGTTTTAATGTAAAACCTTTTCCTTGTCTTAACACGAGGCGGGGTTAATTGGGAGAATTCAAGAGAGTTATGCAAACCCGAGACGCAGAACTTATGAGAATTCTCCCAATCCTCCGAGACTGTGGCCCATAGTTTGGACTGCGTTTTCGTGAACATTTTGTGATAAACATGATAAAGAATGTCTTTTACAGCATTTTGTTGTAGTACTTAAATGCGAAAATTTCCTTTGGAAATGTTTACTGTGCATTTAGTCTTGAGCTCTGGACAGAACAATACCTCCACAAGTGTGTTCTAAGACATTTCCCAGCGCTTCTCTGTAAAACAGAGAAGTGAAATTACCAAATTTGTTCTGTTCTGTCTTGAGCTCTGCTTGAGCTCTCTCGGCGAAATCATCCAGCGCTGAAGTTTATCTTTCTTTCTCTTGTTTTTCTTTGAGCTCAGGGGAAGAGACAGCTAAACCCACAGTAAAAGTTTGGGAATTTTCTCTCCATGATATTTGTTCTTTGTACTTGACACTAGTTAGCGTCAGTTTTGCGAAAGCTTTCAGTCTAAAATGTTCCCAAATCGTGCCCACGGCCAACAAAAAAAGCGTGTTGTCACAACTGTGTTTGATGTCATCTGTGATCTATTAGTAAACAGATGGACGGTAACATGGAATCTATATACATTATGAACTGCAGTTCCTACCCTAATTCGCTGTTTCCTGGTATTTGGCTGATGTTCTTTTTACTGTCTAATTCTAATAACACTCGTGGTGTATTGCCAATTTATTAATTATTTAAGATCTGTGAAGGTGTAGTCTGATCGTCCGGTCCCGGACGATCAGACTACACCTTCACATGTTACCCCCGGGTTCAAACCATTTACTGTATTTAAGATCTGCCACATCATACATATTTCTTTTCCATTCTGATCCTTTTGAAGTGGTATTTTTTTATATCAAATATTACTATAATTTTGATAACAGTTCTCTCCTTACCTACTTTTCTTGAATTCTTTGAAGAGGAAGTTTATTCTCAGTAATTAATCAATTTATCAATTACCTCGAGTACAAAGTTTATAAATTCACATTTTACCTGAATGGCTTCTGCATATAGGAGACACTTAACCACTACTGTGGGCACACTTTTGGAGGCATAAATGGTGTGGCGCATGCTTTGTAAAAGTGGTTCTTTGGGAGTCACTGAATGAAGGAAAATTCCATCACCCAAGCTGCTGCTCCATTTCATAAAGACCAGACCTGGACCAGTCTGAGAGGGATAATATAAAAATAATAACGATAAAATAAACCAAGTCAGTAACAATTTGAAATATGCGTGTCATTCACTCAAAAAGACAACTGGATTAATGAGGAGTCATATGTTACCGGTAGTCATTGAAAAGAGCTTAAAGAGTTTAGGCTTTCATTTTTCAATGGATAGTCTGGTGCACTGGCTGGTCCTCAAGCCTAAATCATAGAGAATCCTAACAGTTTTAACACTCTGAAAGTAGCAAATTCAAGTATAGAAAAACATTGCCACCTGAAGATATAACAAAGCTATTTGTTTCTCTCAAGTACTTACAAGGGAAGATTTCTGATTGCTATTTTTTCAAGTATTCTTCAATTGCGGTGTCAATTTCATGAAACCTTAAAGTTGATTAATAAAAAAAAAATTGATCACCAGCCTTTAGCTGGTTACCATAGTAACTTGGCCCTAACTAGAAAAGGTAACGTTACTATATCTGAATTGAGGGTGGAAATTTACCTGTCTGGCTGTGACCTGAAAGTACAAGTACGGTATCTTGTATCCAAAGACTGAAATGGTGGTCACTAGCTGCAGACATCCAACATGCTTAGCATCTTCAAGAGGCTTCCATTCTGCAGACCAGTTGTGTCTAGCAAATTGCCACCAATGTGAGAAAATATGCCTCAGATCAACTCCACTCAGGATTGGCGAGCTGTGAAGATGATCAAGGTGGTTAAGGTCTGCTCCGTTTTCAGGAATCTCCTGGATTCAGCCGTCAGAAAACAAAAATTTGTTAAGGGACTGCAGACTCACACACTGTACATAACAGGTAAAAATACATGAAGGATATGTTAAATTGCATACTGGTAGTTTGAAGTTTAATATGATATGAAGATGAGTAGTTAATTGCCACAAAAATTCCCCCTGGGTATTTACCAAGGTATGAGATTATGATGCCTTCCTGATTTATTAACTTTTATTTGAAAATATGTTTTCATAATACCTGGGATGCTTTTGGATATTTAAATTGTTTTTGAACCGTTTGGTTAAATATTTAACTTCAATTTAGTCAAATAAAAGAAAAAATAATTTGTTTAGCATCTGAAGGTGAGAAGTGACCTTATGACAATGAGTACATCAGAGCTCTAGACTTGTAAACAGTCATAGTGATAAATCATCTCTAAAATCTTGATTAAAAAACTTTGCTTCGTGTTCTTTGTGCAGAAACTCTATTTTGGCTCAATTTAGAAAGAATTTGGTCTCCAATTCAGGAGTTGCAATTCATCCATAACTACCAACAAAACAAATAGAAAGTCTGAGACTTTATTGTGGCTATACTGATATATATTAGCACAATTTTTAAAGCAATTTGCACAGAAATATATAGAGGTTAAATAATGATGCTTGAATGTGCTGTGGCAGAGGCACAAAATTAAAATCAAATCCAAATGGAATGTTCATTGTTTGTACAATAATTAAATCCAGTTCACGCTTAATAATCTAAACTGTGTGAGAGTGTAGAAAATGAGAGTGTTGAGTTGCTGAATAAACTTCACTCTTAAAGGCAAAGCTTGTCTTGTCCATATATACTATTTCTTCATGTGTGAAGCAAGAAAAGCTCTGCATGAGGAAACATAGATGATGATCTTAAGTGTTTATACTTGTCAATAAAATTAAATTAGCAATCTATTCTCTATTGTGTGTTAGGGCTGGGTCACAACATAGCAAATTCAAATATCTTCCAATTTTTTGCAAGTTGAAAGTTGACAAATATTTTGCAGGAGCTGCTGCATCAAACTAATATTCTTTGCAGGTTACAACTTCACTGATTCATTCATATGTCAATCACAAACCCATTTCACTCTAAAAAGACTTAATAAAAAAGATCTTGTGCAAATTACAATGCAGAAATGGATCTTTTTTTTGTACTGATCTTGTGCATTTTGGTTGGCACTTGTGCTACTTGTGCTGGTGTTAATACTGGGGGTAGATGGGGAGATTTTTGTTGAAGCCATATGTTCTTCACATCACTGCCAGTAACTAGAGTCAGGGAATGAGTCACAAGCATTTGAAGAAAGGGAGCACTCAAATTCCTTGTTGCCCTTAAATAGACAGATAGATGAATAGATAGATTGATAGCTAGATAGACAGGCAGACAGATAGATAGATAGACAGATAGACAGACAGATAGATAGATAGATAGACAGATAGAATAATAGATAGATAGACAGACAGACAGACAGACGTACAGACAGACAGACAGATAGACAGACAGACAGATGTACAGACAGACAGACAGATAGACAGACAGACAGATAGACAGACAGATAGACAGACAGACAGATAGACAGATGTACAGACAGACAGACAGATAGACAGACAGATAGACAGACAGACAGATAGTTTATTTTATCCACGTAACGCCTAGGAGCATTTAGCATACTCGTTTACAATGAGCACGTGCAATCACAAAATACTGAAAATAATGAAAATTACATATTATTAAGTATAAAAGACTATAAATATGCATCATATGCAGGGTACAATGACAAACAATGACAAATTCTTATTATGGTGCTTCGTGATAAATAAACAATAAAAGGTTTAATTAAATTGTTTATTATACTTCTAAAAGTATTCACATTACCAGTAATTCTAGCATTGCGTGGTAAAAGTATTCTAAAGGTGGGTGGCTATAGATGCAAAGGAATTAAGGTGCCACTTGCTATTAAAAGAATTATGCTCAAGCTTTAAGTGCCTGAGCCTCTAAGATAATAATTGACTGTACAAAGTTTAAAGAAGTCTTTAATGTAACAAGGACCATTCCCATTGAAACTCTTAAAAAGTAGGATCAAATCATAAGAACACCTCCTTTGTTCTAGTGTACACGTGTTAATTAACCTCAGAATACTATTGTGACCAAGGTAGGTTCTGATGTTGTTCTTTGAACAACGAGATGGACTTATAGCCACAATAAAAGTTATTTATACAGGAAAGTACACAAAGAAAAAAAAGGGTGATTGCAAGCAAATATTAATCCTCCGTAAAATAGGTCACCAAATTGAGGTTATGCTAGAGTTATTTTTCCTGACCAAGAGGTCCTGAGCTTGTAAGTGCTGGTCTTGACACTCTGAACTACTGAATTAAACTAACTAGCTGTACTTCTTTTATAAGGAATCAAACAATAGCAGGAAATTCTCATGATTTTGAAGTTAGGTGTGACAGTGTGACCTAAAGGAAATTTATGATGCAAATCCTGTGTGTAAGATGATTTGATTATCATAGGAAATAGTTTCAGCAGATGTAATTCTAAAAGTATGATGAAAATATCGCAATGTCATGCATAATTGTGAGCCTGGTCAAACTATCATACAAAGTGGACTTAGGTAAACCAAATTAAATGTTCTGAGAATATAGTAATTTGCATCTTCTAATTGATCAGATCAATATTTAGTTATTCCAATAAGTATTGGGCCACAACACTCAAGATGAGGAAGAATCAAAGCCTTATATAATTGAATCATTACATGCATTGGAATAAAATGTCTAATTTTATGCAAAGTGTTTGTTTTAGAATATACCTTATTAAGCTGGGTTTTTAAATGTGCCTCAAAGGTCAGGTTCAAGTCAATAATGACTCCAAGAATGTTTAGCGAGTCTTTTATTTCCACAGGAGTATCACCTAGCCAAAGTTTGTACTTATGGGTGTTTGTTCCAATAACAAGAGCTTGAGTTTTCACAGTATTTATTGATAGATAGTTTACTGTAACCCATTCTTTAATAACTTTAAGTTAATTCCTTGTTAATAGTATAATTCAAAATCATAGGTGAATGATCTGGGTAATATATTCAGTTGTATTATCAGTATATAAGCAGGGAGACACAGTGGAGATGAGATTGTTCAAGTCATTGATAAAAATATTTAATACGAGGGGTCCAAGCAGAGATCCTTGAGGTACACCAGCTGCAATTGCTTTCCACTCAGAAAAAACGTTGTCGAGTTGAATTCTTTGGCAACGACCAATCAAATAAGACTTCATAAGATCAATGGCATCTGTGTCAAACCCATAAGCTTTAAATATAAGCAAACTATGGAAAATAGAGTCAAAGTCTGCCTTGCTGAGGTTGATGGCTATGGCAACAATACCCTTTCTGTCATCAAGGCCTGCAAGCTAGTCATCTGTGATTTTAACTAAAGCCGTACAGCAAGAGTGACCCTTCTAAAAGCCGGAAAGGTTGGAAGAAAAATGTGGAGATATGGGAGTGCATATGTTGCAGGTAAATTTTCTAAGGCAAATTTAATTTTTCACAAGGTACAACCCGGGTAATTTCACACAAAAATATCTTTTTCATTTGCTATGGGGTAACTAACTCTTTTTATTGATAACAATGATAGAGATATTGGATTTTGCCAAGATAAGGATAAAACAATCTGAGAGAGCAAGATTTTCACTGCAATTAGCCTGATTCTGTCAGTTAGTCAATCAGAGGATTAGATCTAGGGTTAGGGTTAAGGGTTAAAGTTAAGGATTAGGTTTTGGGGTTAGGGGTAATGCTTAGGGTTAGGGTTAGGATTAGGGTTCAGATGTACCAGTAGATTGAAGAACAGAAAAAGGGAAGATAGATTTTGAAAAAGAAAAAATTAGATAATTTTGGTTTCCAAGGAGTTGTAAGTCATTTTTCAGATTTTGATTAAGAAATTATGAATGTTCTTGTTTGATAGCAAAAGTAAAAATGATGTAAACTTGTAAGTAAAGTAATCATCATGCCCTGCGTGAGTCATGACCTTTAAGTACCTCATTCTCTCCTGCATTATCTGTTTTTCCTTGAGGCAATATGTCTCATTGCAAAGTCTCATGCACTGCTTTAACAGGTGACTTTTAAAGATTGCAGCCAATTTGCCTTATTGTTAGGAATGCTTTTTGCTAAGTGGGACTTGCACTTAAGTTGGGGATGTTCCATCTAGAGTGAGAGTGGTAGCACAGACAGAAACATTAAAAGAATGCAACGAGTTTGCTTTTCCATGCATTAGAAGAGATTTAAAATAATATGTCAAGATTGTCTATTCTTGTCACAAACTGGCCTAATCATAAATGTATTCAAGGTAAATTAAGAAGGGTATTCATGAATAATTTCCATCCCTTGGAATGGTCATTTGTGTCCCTGGATAACAAACTGAGTTGTGGTTTTGAAAATAAAAAAGCACTTTCTAATAAACAATAAACCATGGAAATCAAATATGGCGGCCAAATAGAACACACGAGGCTTTGCTGTATTTTTTTTTTTTTTAACCTGAGATAAATACTTCCCATCAGAAAATAAGCCAAAAAATCATAGACTTAAAAATTTATTGTCAATTTTAGAGATGATTTGTTACAAGTGATTCGAACACGGTTATGTCATATGTTTAATGTCTGTTAACGTTAAGTCGCGAGTTTAGACCTTAGTTAATACTCTTTAAGCTTTGTATGATGCACGACCTCGCAGTAGAGAGCGCTATTTATGCAATAGCGAAAATCAGACCTGAAAAAATTTTTAAGCTTTATTTAGTAGAACTCTTATCGTGCGTTTCTAGGGGCAACCAAACCAAACAATTCTAAGAATGCAAACCGTTTTAAAAATGTTTCTCTCGTGACATATAATTAAATACTCATCTAACTGACAGGGTGCTTTAGTACGGACCTAAACGAACATTACTGATGAGCTGGAAAGTCATATCATAACAAATCCTTGATGCAGCTATTTTAATAATTCGAGCAAGAAAATATGAGCAAATTAAAGCTTACCTCAATGTGGGCATTAATAGCGTGTTGAGTATAGCCTCGATAAGTCCAAGTTCCGTTTTGGATCTCTTCGATTTCATCAGGATACCAAGTAGGTTCGCTTCCTTCTGCGTGATACCAAATATAAATAGTGTGATTTGTTTCCAGGCAGTGCCATGCTTTGGTTTGGGCAAAATTAGGAACATTTTCGCAGTAAGGAATTTCTGTACACTTTCCATCGCTCCCACGAAATTTCCAACCGTGAAACGGACATCGAAGACAATCACCTACCACTTGTCCACCGATGCCTAAATTAGCACCCAAGTGCGGGCAATAAGCATTCATAATATACGATTTTCCATCAGTTCCTCTAAACACCACAAGATCTTCGCCTAAAATAGAGACATATCTAACCTCACCCACAACTAGTTCGTGAGAAGCGAGTACGTGAAACCAGCCATTAGGGTAGACAGGTGGCACCTCGCCACGTTTTTTTCGCTTTCGATATTCGTTTGCAACGTCTTTCAGAGGACGCTTTTCATCTGAGAAATAGCCGATGTCGTGGAGTTTCCGCTGCATCTCCAAAGGATAGAATAAAACCTTCCACACTTTCCGGATTAAGTAGGCGAAGAGGAATGAACTTGTTATCACCAGCCCAGTATTGAAGTTTCGGATCCTCGTCCAAAACGACGGCAGAACATTTCCCCAGACTGAGTGGGAGAGATCGTTTAATTTTAGGAGCATCGGTGATGCAGCTGCAACAACGGCAAGGAAAAGCGACGTGCAAATCAATTTGGAAGACGTCATCCTGGAAAGCATTTAACCTCCCAAGATGTTGCTACCATGTGCGATGGGTGTTCAGTTAGGAAGCGGAAGAGTACACTTGATCACGAACCGCGCATTTGATAATGCCTTCTGATTGGTCAAAAATTAATTTGACTAAACTTGTGCAAATTACTTTCATATCGACACCTCATAGATACCGATTAACACCTGATGTACAGCACGTTTTTCCACTTGGAAAGCTCTGATATTCCACCATCTTTTTTGAGTGCGAGTGAGTAATTCCGTAACATTTTATCGTTTTTGCAAGACTTTCTAAACGCGAGTCGATCTTATTCTGCCCTTCGCCCAGTGCGCACCTTTCCTCAGTCTATGCTTGTAATGCTTTAATAATAATAATAATAAATTTTATTTATATAGCGTACATATCCTGTGCTTAAGGTGCTTTCCAATTTTTATATAAAATACAATATATTAAGCTAAAAGTAAATACAATAATACAATCAAGCTAAATGACTATATAGTAATAGATATAATTCGATTGTAAATCATGATTCTAATATCCATAAAACTGTAGGCAAACTTTAAAATAACGGGCAATCGTCAACATAAGATAGGTTTTCAGCCTTTTCTTAAAGTTTCCAACAGTGTTAAGGTTACGTAGGTCATATGGTAAACTGTTTCAAAGTCTTGGGGCCAAGTTCGAAAATGCTCTTTCCCCAAAAGCTTTTGTATATGACCTAGGCTCTTTTAATAACAAATTTGATCTAAGTGATCTGGAGTACTGCCTGTACTGGAGTTTCTCTCTTAAGGTGGC